ACGTTTTACAATATACTAATTACTGCCCATTTTCAATTTTTTTTCAATACATTTCAAGTTTTTTGTTCTACAAGACACTCTTAGTCATGAGGCATAACCTTATTTTAACGTATAAAATTTAAAACAAAAATATTACACTCCTTTTTTTCCATTAACCTGCCAATGGAATAAGTACCCTCACTTTATTTATATATATTTCTTAACTCTCATTTCCTATTTGAGCATTGTGATTTGTCGCGTCTATGAAAACGTTTGTCTCACAAGTGCCAAACACCTACTACCTTCATTCAACTACAAGGGAACTGTACGATTTCTGAACATTGAAATAATATGGCCTTCGAATGATTAATGAGGTGCTGCTAATTTTAAACAACCATTTTCAGAGAAAAATGCGTTATTTCCAGTTAATAGCTGAAAATCAATTTTTGAGACTAACTTATTTCGACAATCAACCAAGCAACAAACAAAAAACAACACTCGCAGATGACCATGATATTGAAATATCTTTCGCACTTGCAGCATCAAAATTGGGCGCAATGGCTCGAGGAGTAGTCTTTGTGGGACTGTGTTTAATTTGTATCAATGTAACGCCGGATTCAGCTCACACGGAATTGAAATGCCGCGAAAGAAATCGACCTCTCAGTATAAAGAGAGACGAGTTCAAAATTGTGGATGTGCAGTACGGCGAGAAAATTCTTCTTGCGTGTCATTACTGGTTGGATGTTATGAATAAGTGATTAAATTTAAATATATTTTGTACATGTTATGCTTTTATATAATGCTTTTTTTATTTTCAGCGACGAGGAAGATGACGAATTACCAAAAATCTGGTATAAAATGAACAATCCTCTAAACAATAACGTTTCGGAGGTGGAACTGGGAATGGCAACAAATTTAACGTCCAATAGAGTATTCGTCACGCCAGATCACACACTTGTAATTCAAAATATAAGTCAGAAGGACGAAGGTATTTACTTCTGCCATGGACAAGAAGGAATTGGGAAAGAATTGAAATACAATTACTTGATAAACAGTACGCATGTTTTTATTATATATTAAACATGACTTTGAAATCGTTTACAAAATTCTAAACTTCTTACAAATTTTCTTTCTGCAGCAATTTTAGCATCTCGGCACCTACCAACAGTGGGCAATTTAACACAATGGGCCAATTACAAAGTCCAATGGTTGCAACCTGCAAATAATATGTTACACTCTTCTATGGCATTTCGTCTTCCAGAATTACTGTCGAAGAAAATTCAGTTTGATGTGTTTACTGAGTGGGAAGAATGGGGTCCATGTGTAAGTTGTCATAAGCAACCTGCTGAAAGGCGCCGAATAGGGAAATGTAGACTTAGAGCATCCCAACCAGAAGTAAGTAACCATTCCAATTTATAAATAAAAAGTAATAATTTTTAATGTTGTTCCTTAGCTAACCTGAATGAGTACTATGATAATGAACAAATTAATAGAAAAATATAATACTCATGTGAACTAAATAAGTACCTTTGTAAGGATGAGAAAGTAAAATAATACAGATTAATATTTTAATATGAAAGAAGCAATTATTTGCATAAAATAGCACATTCTTTTCTCTTTATAAATAGAAAAATGGGGATGTATACAAAATGCAAAAATGCACAGATTCATATGAATCAATGAAAATATTTCTTTCAAGAGTTCATATCTTCATTCACCATATATTTTATTATTTTCCTGAATTATCTGAAATGTTCATGACTTGATAGGGTATGAACTGAAAAAGTGACCAAAAAATGCATTCCTTTATTGCAGATGAATGGAAAAGATTTATTAGATCTTCCATCACATATCAAATTATTTCTTTCTATATCACAATTGTCATGCCGATCTTATCTAGTTCGACAAATAGGACAAGAAGTTCTTGGCTTTGCATTGTGGATGATTCCTGATTTTATTCAGACTGCAGAATGTAAGGGAGAGTGTACTCAAAGTAATTATAACAACTTGATTTGCATTAGCCTCTTAAAACTTTCCTTTCTCTTCCTCTCTGGATTAATTTCTCATTTCTAAGCAAGTAAGTCTTTAACATTATTTAACATTTCAGCAGTTCATAAGTTATAACAATATTACTCTGAATTTTCTCTAATTACATTCTTACATTTTTATTATTTCTATGTGATGGAAAATTAATAATTTTTAATATGTGATCATTATTCAAAATATTTGAAGGAAAAAAGATTAAATTAAGAAGGATGTCATGCAGTTCTATTGCTATTGCACTGTAATAAATTGATTTTACCTATTTGTGAAAGTAAATTTCATGTTATTGTGATACATGAAATATTATGTTAAAGCATAGTTTGCTGAACGAGTTTCTTAGAGTAGAAAATTAGGGATATTATTGTAGTTATTATATAAAAATTAATTTCAAGACTAGGGCTGCGGTAAAGTGATGTCAGCCTGCTAGTAGTTTTGTATAGTATTATTCTAATAATTAACATACTTAATATTACAGAATCTGAAAACATAGCTGTGTATTATATAAAACAGAGGAAAGTACAACCTAAAATATTTCTGAAGTTTCCAATGGCAACCCACAGATCTGTTTCTTGCCCTGGGTAGGTAAAATTAGTACATTTCTGTTACAATATAAAATATGAATAATGTTTGATAGTTTTCCATGATAGATTTAATACAGTGAATTAATTCAATATAGGATATTTTTTAGTTTTTTCAATATCAGAATTTACATCAATATTCTTTTTCTTTTCATCTAATAACATAAACCATTTAATTTAATATCAAGCTTCAGAGCTCAAGCTCGTTTCCATACAAGTCAGCATTCTTCTTGGTTATCATATTGATGATATGTTATGGTAATGAACTACTGATGAAAATTCAACTTTGATTCCGCCCCGAAATTTAAGACGAAAATGCACATACCGCTCTGCCTGCGAGCAATTTTGCCTACGCGGCTACCTACTTGTCTATCGTAGATTGCAATCGTACTCACGTGGAGAAGAAAGAGGGGGAGAAGTAAACATTTCAAGTTCGCCTGGCGTCAAATTCGATTCTACGGACTTGTGAAACAACTTTTCTTTGTTTAATTTGTCTGAGTTCGGTTTAATGCGAAAAAACAACAAACAAAAAAAACACCGAAAATAATGAATTAAAATTGAATTCCATTTTTTGTCATACCCCAGAAGAATATAGAATTTTATCGAGTATCGAGTACGACAGTGAAAATATTGGGATCCGTTTGTAGCTGATACAAGAAATACAGCAACGAATGTGCGGCGGAACAATAAAATATCTTCTGATAGGGAAATTTGAAACTTTGACATTCCTCCGTCACGATGAGAGCTTTCTTTCGGGGGAGATGGCTCAAGCCATCAACTGATATCATTGCAGTCCCTCTGACCAGGAGGTCCTAGGTTCTAGACCCCCTTCAGGATTTTCGACACTAGCTTGTTAGCAAGATCGAATTCAGTCGCTGTCTGGAGGAGAATTCTAGCGGCCGGCTGCTCTGATAGGTAACTTTTCGTGGTTTCTCAGATCAACACCAGGCGAAGCCTTCCTCTCTGGTGGGAGATGCCTGGGAAAACCCCGCTAGCCAAAGGTAGGTCGGCGCCAGATCTCGCCATACAGCGGAGGAAAGATCACCACCACCTCCCGAGCAAAAAACATGCATTACACTTCAATCAATGAGAGCTTTCTACTGGTTCATTATTCGAATGGAGGCAATGATAAAATGCTCAACTTGAAATGTAACTCAATACAATGTTTAGGACATGCAAACAGTTTTTGAACTGATGGCAATGTGTAATAAAAAAATCTTAATTCTTCGTCAACGTACATTCGGATAATGAGCCAGTAAAGCTCTAATCGGGAGAATGTCAAAGTTGAGAAAGTCAGAGGGCGTAATTCTGATGCATTAATGTTGAACGTTAATTGAAAACGGACAGATGCCTTGAAGTCTGTCGGAAGATAATTTTCTTCTCTCTTTAAAATCCATAAGAAGTTATTGAACTTGGCATTTCGGTTACCAGTTGCGGTTGGTAAGTACTTAAGCCTTTACGGTACCGTACTTGGTATTTGTTGTCCTGTTGTCCTTGGAAGGACCTCGGAAGTACGCTAGCAAAACATGTCGATTTCTTCGCCTTCTAAACATTCTCTTCCTAGAGCCATCGTCACAGGAATATATGTTTCATTAAATTATAAAGTATAAAGGCATTTTTTGTTAGTAAGTTGTTTTCATACCGAGACATTGGTAATGATAATGATGCGTATTTAGTAGTATATGATTGGCCGTACATTATTGCACACCGTTTTGGTATGACACTCACACGTGTCTCAGCATTAGAAATTGTATTTATGAATATGCTATGTTTGTGAAATATTTGGGAAGAGATTTTTTCGTTTCAGCCAATCTCTTTATTGCTATAGAGAGACTGAATTATTTACTCTATATTCATACTTGTGAATGAAATGACATTTATTTGTAATATTTGACCAGTAAAATTAATTGTAGGATATGCCGTGATATTTAATTCTCAGGGCGACACCTTTATCTATTGTTTCCTGGGAGAAGGGGAAAGACACTCTAAGGCTTGACTTACCTGAAACACCACTAGTGGTTGATGCTTTCGGCACCCTGTTGTTTGAGAACCCCACTGCAGATGAAAGCGGCAATTATTCATGTTACATTAACGGAGTGAAAATTCAGGAAATATGGATATCGTTTTATACATCGAAGGAATTTATTAGTCGGAGTAGGTGCAAAGACATATCATTTAATTTTGAACTCGGCTAATAAAGCCTTCTTTTGTTTAATCTTCTTACATTTACTTTTTTCAGAGACTCGGCGTTATTTCATATACCTGGCTTTTTTGTTGTTCCTGTCTGGTATATGTTATTGTGGATGTGTAATTAAAACATGCTTCCAAAGGAAAAATTTCCCCAAAGTTGAAGAGGCCGAAGCCCTTGTGCCGTATAAAGTTCAATGGGTTTCCAGAACAAAAGGATAAAAAGTTCACGAAATCACTCACAAAAGGAAATTTACTAAACCTTTACTAAACCTAAACATTTACTCTACCATAAACGAATTTACCAATAGAATTCTGAAAATTATATTCTCAATCTCATTCGTACTCAAAGATCAGTTCTATGGATATAATGTCTACGAGAATGGAAAGTGGGTGGGAGTGACTTACAGCTCCAGGTAACGGTACCTGGTCCCGGGGAAGGGGGAAAGAAAGCAGACAGCCTTCCGTGCAATGCTCCTTCTCGAAACAGGAATGAAGGAAGGCGTGTGATTCTGATAAACGTCAAGAACCGATCTTTGAGGATCTCAGGATCCCGAAAAAACGGCAATAATGAATCTATACAGCAGTAACAAGTTTACAATTGTTTTCGTCATCCTGTCTCTCGCAATATCTACAGAAGGTACGTAGAAATGACAGCTGTCACTGCAGGAAACAGAGATCCTTGTTCTGAGTTTCAGGAACGCAGGTATTTAAAATTTAGAGGGACACAATATTCCAAGTTTTACGGCGAGATCTTAAAAGATTACATTAGTTACAACGTACATACAACAAAATAATAAATAAAAAAATTAATTAGTTTATACACAATTGTACAGTATTGTTGTTTCAACGACCTTGATCTTATTGTTCCGCTTGAGTCTGTGATTAGTAAATGAAGTCTATTTTGGAATATGTTGCACATCCAAATTAACAATTTTGGAAAAAATCTGCAATAAAATTTTGAAAAGAGGCTACTAGATTTCAAAAATATTATTCAGTAATAATGGAGTTTTAAATTTCATTAACATCTTAGGAATGTTTTCGGGATAAAGTTCATATATCAATGAAATTTTGATTAACAAGATAAAAAAAGGCAAGGAAATGTTTATGAACTATTTTGGAAATACAAAATGATTGATTTTGGAAACAAATCTATAATTGTATAACTGAAAAAAAAGTAGTTGAGAAGTATTAGTTTATTAGAATATTGTAGTTTTTAGGTTTTATTAAATAGGAGCAAGTATTTTCTTATCAATTCCTGCCAAATATACTTGTTGCTACCTATATTTATAATTCAAGTTAATATGAGTACAAGCTAGGAGAGGGATCTCAGAGATCAAGAAAATGTGCACAATCACACTTCTCATATCACGTCATACAGCATTTTTATCTGTTTTTTGATGTAAAATAAATAAATATTAACAATGAATTAAATCTATTAACAGATTTACTAAAATATGTACAGCTATCTGATTAGTCTCTTAAAGAAATGTTAATGTTCTTTATATATTAGAGGTAAAAAATATTGTTCTTTATTTCATTGACAGTTGTCTCTTTGAATATTACATATTCTGCAATTTGTCACCAACAAGAACACTGATCACGTGTATCCAAGGCTTCCCAGAAAGAGGGGTGTGTGGTGGGGGTGGGGCGGGGGTGGAGCTGGGGCAACTAGCCTTAGCCCTTGACTTAATTCATGCCTCCCCAATTTTTTTTTCAAAACATTAAAAAAATGTACTTGTATTTCAAATTAGCTACTATAAATTATTTCAGTTGCATGGAGAGATGAATTTTTTTTATGTATGCTGGGGGGGGGGCTTTGAAAAAAGGGGCTTGGATCTACAGCTCCAGGTGACTCATTTTCTGTGGGTCCCCCTGCATATATCAATTTTTCAATGAATGCCCATATAAAAAGCTCATCAATTTTGAAGATTAATTTTTCTATTTCTCAACGTGGAGAGTCATTTTTGCTGCAAAAATTGAAACTTTCTAGTCAATTCAATAATAAAGACTTTTTTATTCATAATATATTTTGTAATATATACTTGTTTTAAGTTTTGAAATTCCTCATCCTCTGAATCATTTTTTAACAGTACTTTACTTTTAACTTATAATTTTAAGGTTGAACTGCCAATCATATTATTAAGTACGAATATTGATAGTACTGGTGAATAATCTTTTGTTGTTTGTTAACATCCAATTAAAATTAAGAGAACATACAAATTTTGAGTGCCAATCCTACGTTGATAGCTAGATTTTTCAAAGATTGTGGAGCATAAAAGACTTCATTATGTAAACTAATCAATTGCATCAATGCATTGACTTCACAGAGGTAAATCCACTAAGATCACATGATCCAAACTAAAATTATTATTAATTTAATAATATTACAATAATATTTAATAAAGTTAGATATTTCATTTGTCTATTATTCATTTTATGCTTTTTCAGTTTAAATTTATTTGCAAATACTAGCCTGGTTTCAGTTTCTTTTTTGAAATTTTTTTTCTTTTTAGCCCTAAAACGATGCTTTACCTGCCGATCCCGAGGTGACCAAGGTTCTTGCAAAGATCCTTTCAAAATTAATGCAACCATGGTTGAAATGGAACGTGGAGTTGATGCTGTTCCTTGTGCATCTGGTTGGTGTGGCAAATTCCTTGAAGGTGGAACAACTTATAAAGATGATGGTAAAACTTTGCAATTAAAATTGAATTTTGTGATATAACTAACAAAATTTCTTCCAGGAAGAGTAATGGTGCCTTTCTTTATCTCTTTATACATGAAGAGGGAAGAATTTGAAATATAATGCTCATGAAGCATGAGGGTGTATTTTGTAAATTTTAATCATTATTCCTGCAGAAATAATGTGTACTTTATATTTTGAGATTACAATTAACTTTACTGTAATACAAAGGTTCCCAAAAGGCTTGGTATCAACCCTTTAAAGAGGACTTTGATGGGGAAGGGGGTCAATGATGAAAGTGTGTCGATTATGGGTTGTCAGCCAAATATACACCAGGAACTGATTCGTAAAAACAAAATGAAGATCCCATTGACCACAAAACATTATTAATGAACTTGATAATTAATAGCTTTCTTACATAAAATCCCAAAACATTAGTTCTTGTTAATAAGTATCAAACTTTTGTGCAATTTGAATTTGAGATTTATTTCTGAAAACATATTTGTATTAGTAAAATAAAAAATAACAGTAGTGCAGAAATTAATAAATCATATGCCTAATAAACCAATCTTTTTCAAAACTCTTGGCCATATTCTTCATTTAAATAGTTATCTTTAAGTCATTTATATGCAATCATTTGTGTAATGATTATATTGTATGGTGTATATTATAAAAAAATGAAGGGGTTAATAAAGCAAATAATTTTGTTTTAAAAGGGGTTGATGCATGAAATGGTTAGGGAATCTGTGTTCTCATAGAAAAATGGTTTGACATTTCATGGTTATAGTATTTTGTGAGTGTTGTATTGAAAAACTAGCCAATATACTGGTTTTTCATAATAATTCAATTTAGAAATGCAATTAATTAAATCATTACCTATTAACAAGCAAATAATTTTAGGGAAATTGCTTGAAATATTCTCATATTTTCTGCAATACTTTTTACAATTCTAGTTTTTTTGACATTTTCTTGAATGTAAATATTCTTTGCAAAGTCTCAAGTTTTTAAATTTTAGAAGTCATTTAAGTTACAAACGGTTAATTTTCAAACAATCTTTTATATGTTATTTCTAGAAAGAAATTCTAGTTTCAAATGATAAGGTGTGTATTTTTAATTCTTGCAAGATTTTATTGCTTAACAAAAAGATAATTTATTTTGTTAATTTATCTAATGTCAAAAACAGTTATAAACTGTGTGATATGTTATCGTGAGAAATGCAATCTGTGCATGCTTTCATGAGCTCTGAGATCTCTGCCCTAAATCACATACATATTAAGTTGGATTATTAGTACAGAGAGCATTTTGGCAAAAATTATTATGAAAATATTCACTCCTCTGTAACAAAAACTATTTGCAAAGGCACATGAGGTACATATTTTGGCTAATATCCCTCATGCACTATGTGAAGAAATTTACTGCTGGGAAAAATGGAGAATGGTTATTTTAATATCTGCATTCCACAGAGCTCAATAAAACATGCAGAGATAGTGATGCTACATTTATGTCCAGAAGCAATAAGAGGTGATCACAGCATTTGCTCAAAGGATCAGGGAAATAGGATGATATACCTGATTGAGTGGTGAGTGAGGTGTGTTTGTGAGCTCTGTGCAATTGTGCAATGAAAATACCCTTTGAAATGGTTTTGAATTGTTTGAATTAGTTTAAAATAGTATGGATTTCATTAGAAAAATCATTCTCTAAACTATTTATTCTTTAGTATTTCCTCAATAGGAAGGGGTCAAAAATTGCCAAGATTAATTAGCACTTTTCACTCAAAAAATGAATATTCATTTATTTCTCATTGCAAATTTTCAGAATTAAATTCAGCATATCAATATTGGAAGGTATTACCTTCAATATTTTTTAAGAAATATGTACTGAAATCAGTGCATCATGCATGATAAACTAAATCAACATTATATGTCATCCAAAATTAAATAAATATTGGTACCACATTGTAACAAAATTTATTGACAGGCTTTATAAATTAAATTTTTGCAATTCTTTAGTTATATGTTAGTATAATAACTTATCCTACAATGACTAATGATTGAGAACATTTGGGTTTGTCTTCGTGATTTATTCTTGATTTATTCAACCAGCAGTCATCCTGCAGAGAATTTTGTTTTTACTGCTCTGCATGCATTGTCAAAGTAGCTCAGCTTTTAGTTGTTCCAGTCATATCTTTCACAGTTTTCTTACCACATGATCACATTTATGTGAAGATCATGAAACAGACAATATTAGTTGGGCCTGTTTCACTGAAAGCAAATTTTAATTGTTAATATTGGATTAATCCTTTGAAAATTGATAGATATGTTTTAACCTATATTAGTAGACTATTTGTAATACAAATATTACATTGGTATGCTTCATTTTCCAAGGTTTGCATCCGATATTGAGACAGGATCTTTAACTGTGGGTGAAGGTGTTGTTTTATGCTTATGCAAATTTACAACATTAGAAGATCTATCTGAAATATTAAAAGAAGCATAAAATTAACTATGTTTGAGCCTTCAGCAATGTATGATATTTAAGGAATATTAACTGAGGAAAATTTATTTTTTGTTGGGTTACTGTGAAAATTGTTATTTCTTTGTATTTGACTATTTACATTGGATACTACCAATGCATTGAACAATTAAAAATTACTAAATATTAAGGCACTGTAATTTCTTTTTGTGGACATTTAATTCATGCATGTATAACATTTTTCATAATTTTTGATATCTTGCTGTGAGAAAATTCCTTGAAATTAATTTTTGATGTATCCAATGCAAAGGCATGGCGACTTCAAAAGTGTTCCTATTTTATATATAATTAATATTTCATATTTCAACCTAAAATGTAAACCTTACAAAATAGGACAAAAAGTCAGAAAAACAAAAACATATCCAAAACAACTTGTCAGAAAATCCAAAACATGATAGGAAAAAAATTGAAATACTAATAATAAATACAAACATTTATGATTTGCATTTCATTTTTCTCTCGTGTACATTAAGTGACTTTGACCCTTGTGTACATAAATATGTTCTGCAATTTAAATTATTAAAGTGATATTTTTGTATAAATGAACTAAGCAGTGGCTGTGAGCTTGAACTTCTTGTGTAAAATATAGTAAAAGTCTTTCATTTTTTCTTTCTGTCAGTAATTTTAATATTTAGTAAACAAGAAAACAAAATGTAGCCTATAAAATGCAGAAAGCTTACTATTATTCTGGATTATAAACAAATGTATTATTTTCGTATTTATAAATCATAATATTTTCTGTTTTGAACAGATTATGGAGTAGCAACACAACGTCTCTGCCTGCAACGAGGTCCATCAGATGATGAGGAGCGCTGTGATTACACTGTGTGGAATCACAAAAAAGTGTATATGTGCTTCTGCAAAGGAGACTTATGTAATCACAGCCCTGTTTCTGCTACAGCACCTCTCTCATTAATAATTCTGGGATTGGGAATTTTATTAAAAATGTAAAAATTTGTTTAAATAGGTCTGAAAATTAATAGTCATGTATTTCTACAGGAACTGAATTATCAACAATTTGAAAACTATTGTATGTCAAATGATGTGACATTTCCATAAATGACAATAAAAGTCTATGAAATATATAGTAGAAATAGGAATATTATGAAAATGCTAGTACTTGCCAATTTTTAGTGCAGACATTTTTACAAAGATGCTATTTCTGAATAACTGTGGTTATCATTTGTTTTACTCCCTATTACAATGAAAACAAAACAATTACAATGAATGTTTTTTTCCCCTCACGTCATATACTACAACTTATAAGATAAATTTAAAAATAAATATCTGAATATTTCAAATTCTTTAGTTATATTTTAACAATATTTTTGTTAGCATTGGCTGTGTCTTGTAAAAATATAATATTAATGTATGAATGAGTAGAAAATCAAGACTTGAAAATATTAGTGAGAGTATCCATTTTTGACATTGATATGATATGTACAAAGTTGGAATGATATCTGACTTTGCATTGTAAGGTATAAACGTTTCTTATGCATAGGCGTGTGCAGCCTAAAACAAGAGGGGATCTGGCAACTACATTTCTGGACTTCTTTTTCTATTAAACTTTTTTACTTACATGTGACATATTTCACGAATAAAGTAAATAAACAAACCATTCTACAAGGAGAATGCAATTATGACTTTAATGATAAAATAAAATGGACTTGATTTTTTGTTGAATTAAATAATTTTTGATTGAATCATTTACAGGGTTGCCTGATAGCTTTGGACAGCCTCTTCCCCAAATGTCATATAACAATTCTCCACATTGCTGGGTTAAAAGGGGAAAATCAGAAATTGAACATATTTATAATATTTTGAATATTTTATATTTAATTAATGTAATATATTTAATATTTTATCACGTAAAGCTACAGGGTCCCTTTCAAAATTTTCAGGGGGGTGGCCATGCCCTCCACCCTACCTGGCCCCCCTTGTGCACATGCCTATGTTCATATGAGATGGAATATGTGGTATGAACCTTTGGAATGTGTTACCAATGATTTCAACAAAACCTGAGAATGTGTGTACAAAATAAAATACTCTATTTTCCCAAGGAATTTTCCTAGAGGAAAAGTGTTTTATGATAGGTTGTTCTATGAACTGTGTCAGTTTTGGAGTCCAATAAGATTGCTGTCACCATTAAACTGAGAGCTTAATCTTTGATACCCCATAGAGAGTACGTATTCCTTTGTGAATGACTATTGAGTAAACAATAACATTATATTTCCAGCATAAATCGTATCTTTTCATTATGTGAAAAGAAGGAAATATTTTTCCTACAATTATTTTGTGCCTTATTAAAAGTCATGTTTTCAGATATTAGTGACTTCTACTGAAGCGTTATAGAGATAAAATACTTTTGTATTGCAAATTATCTTCAAATATAACAAATATTACAAACAAGCCATATTTCATTAATAAATTTTGCAGGATTATAACTGTGACTTCTTTTCTTAAATTACCTCACTTTATCACCCTAAAAATATAAATATTAGTATTTGTTTTTCTCATGTGAATAACATTATTATATTACGTTATGAAAAGAAAAAAATAATGGCTACTTAAAAATACATTTAAGGAAATTAGATTCATTTTTATATCTTTTAAAATGTGAATCTTGATAAATTAAGCAAAGATATCTCAAGAAGTTAAAGTTACAAAATTATATATAAAAAAGGAAATTTGAATATTCTGTGCAGATTGATGGATAGCGATCAAAACTGTCAGTATTTTTGTGAACACCTTTGATTACAAAATTATTAGGAAAAGTGGCTAATTGGTAGAGGAAAGGTCTAAATGTCAAAACCTAGAAAAGCAGAAAATCTTTAAATCTAAGTCAAGAAGAAGCACAGAATGAAAAACTAAAAGCTAAGCTTGGCTTTATTGACAAAACAGGGGACTTTAATCTATTTTTGTTTTGTTTTGTTTGTCAGAGTATTTGAGAAAATTTACAAGTGAACTATGAAGAAAATTATAAATTTTTCTTGTGTAATGAAAAGGAATTTCGTTATCGATTCCATTATCTTATCAACATTCTTTTTTTCCCCCACACTATCGCTTACACAGATGAGTCAGTGATTGATGACAACCAAAATAAATATAGTATGAGATATGAAAAACTTTGTAATTTGAGTCACGAGAAACTTGTTGGAGTTATGTGTTTCAAACTTCTCCCAGTCCCACAAACACTAGATTGTAGAACTTCTTGCTACATATTTAGGCACGCTGATAAAAACTCTGGTATTAAATCACGTATGAGGCGTTGTTGTTTCCATTGTGTGTCTGGTGTGATAGGCGTCTTTTTCAATCAATTATCCCAACCAACCAATTTTTAGTAATTTAGCATTCACCTTTCATGAATACCCTTACTATAATCCATATATTGGAAGGAAAAGGCAAAATTACCACTGTGGTTACCTTCCGAAGAAAGGGAAGGATGTGAACATGTGAGCCTCCTTCCTTGTCTATTTGTAGAAATTAAGAATGGCAATCTTTGTCATAATTTCTGTCAAAAGTTGAGGGTGATAAGTACTAGAAATATCCTATTATTAAGTGAAGAATCATGACTTTGTACAAGAGGAATGAACTGAGTTTACATTTATTAAGTATTAACTTATTTCCATTCATATATTTAAAATCTGAATATCTTTTTAACAAATTGATAAATAAAATATTATTTCTTAATTATTTCTATTGGTTCCTGTTTTTAAGACAATCAGAAACCATATACTGTGCAATTAAATTATACAAAATAAACCAATTATACCATACAATACATTGTATCTGAAACAATATTCAGTATGATACTATAAATAATCGTCTGCAACAATCACCACAGAATTTATAAACCAATTGTAGTTCAGGAATCGCACAGTAAGAATCACATCTATATTGTTTCTGATAGTCATAAAAACAGGAACCATAAAAAATAAGTAACAAATAATATAAATAATGAGACTTTCAACTACCTTTAAAATATTATTTAATTTACAAAAATGTTCAAATTGCTTAGTAAATACTGATACACAATAAGAACAGAAGATTTTGACAGAAGACTATGGAAGAATACCCAGCAATTGTACATTAGTCATTATAATAATGATGATGAGGCTTATGATCTCAACGCAAAGGTTGATGGGGACTACATTCAGATGAAGGAGCAGACTTGTACTTTTATATTTTTCCTATTTCTAGATAGGTAATCACAGTGATGTTTTGCCATTGCTTTCTAAGGGATAGATAATGTTAGGTGTGATCATGAGAGGTGAGTGATGATAATGATGAAATAATAATGGTTATGGATGAGCTGAAGTTTCAAACGGGATACATGGATGGAATTAAAAGCCAAGCACGTGAAAACACTCACGCCACCTTATGCTGAACTCTAACTGCAGTTTACGGCTCCCTCCTGACAAAATTGCCATTGTAGCAATTATTAGCCTATAATGTTTAAGTTATTCCATTTCACTCATTTTCATCCTTAATGTAATTGGCACAATATTCCATTGAATTCAAAAGTAGGTGTAGGAACTAAAATATATTGTGTTGTGCAATAATGATGCCATTGGTACAGCACCTCTCTGAGTACTTGTCTTCGGTATATTTCAAAGGATGATGAGAATTCAAGAAAATTGGTTTCTTTGTTTCCCTTGATTTCATTTGCTTTCATGACACATAATTCTTTCAGTTGATGAAAAGGTAAATATGTATTAATAGGCCTGTAAAAAACAATTCTATTGTTTACGGAAATTACATTACAAAAGATGAAATTAAAAAAAATACCAATGCATGTTCTCAGTTGAATTAAGAATTTTTGAAAAAGTTTTCTGATTTGCATGTATTTGAAACTTCTTTTTATTTTATGTGTATGAAAGAAATCTCATTTTACATGTCAGTTTTAAAGAATGGGCTTGGACTATTTCTTTGTCTCATTCAAAGAGTGTAAGTGCAGTACATGATTAATGTATAATTATATTTTTGGAAAATATGGCTAATACTAGTGACAAATAAGTTATTTATAAATGCAAATTAGTAGATGAAAATATAATAAGAAAATGAGGTAGAGACAGATAAAGAAAGAGATGGGAAATTCAAGAACATTTTGACAGTAAGAAACTACTGAGACTGCTAGGAAGATGCTATAAAGCTCTGAAGTAGTTCTATATAGTTCACAATGATGATTAGTTTAAATAGGGGTAACTTATATCAGTCTTGTTAAATACTGAATGTATTCTATTAAATATATTCAGAAATACCTATTTTAAAATATATAATATCTTAGAGTATTACATTTATAGACAGTGAGTGATTCAAAAAGTCAGCACTAATTTTTCTTCTAAGATTTATCCCTATAGTAATCTTATTAATAATCTATGAAGGAATTAATTGTACCTCAATTTTACAAAATCATTAAATAATTCATTTATCTAAGGGAATATATACATTCTTATGAGGTAAGTTACATTATTTATGGAGTGATCCACAGAATCAATTCTGAATAGTCTTTGTGGATAAGTTTCAAATTTGTATCTTGAATGAAACATATTATAGCCTCAGCAATAATTTTATTAATTGTTTTCTGCAAGCTCAGGCATAATAAATAAGCATGCAGAAATACAGTTGAAGCTCGCCAAACATTTCAAATTCTGTAACTCTTGTTCATCTGAAGATTAAATAGTATAACAAATAATTTATTTTAAAAGAATTTCTGTATAATTAATGATATCGCTATAAAACAAAAAGCTGGATGACAAAGTTCACAGAAAAACTTGAGCAAATGTGTTTCCTGCAAATTTTTGATTTACGCAAGCAAATAACTCCAAAGATACTGGGAATAGCTAAGAAATTAATACCAAAAATCTCATAGACAATTATGTAAACCTACATTTTTAATATAGTAAATTTTTTATAGTTCCGTTTTTGATATATAATTTCCAATTTGGCGCAGAAAATGAATTGAAACCACGAAGTACACAGGTTCTGTATACTTCGTGATTGACTTGAAGAAGACGATAAGGTAAAAGTTGACTTTTAGCCCCGATCGACTCTAGTGTATAAAGTGTAGGGTGTATGTGTAAGGGAAGAAGAGGGGATAAGGATGAAGAAGGAAAGATCACACGCGGTTCATGGCCCATTTATTAGAATACTGTTCCGGCATTTTCCTAGTATTGAACGCATAAACTAGGGAAAACTCCCGATCAGAGCATCGGACTTCTAGAATTCTCCTCCTGACAGCGACTAAAATAAATAAACGGATTAATAAATAACAATGTGAAAATTTTAGCCGCATGAACCGATTGCGTCAACCTCCGAGAGGCAGAATTGGTCCGCCCTCTACGTCATCGTTCCGCTCGAACTGCCTGAGCCGACTCCCCCTCCTCCCCGGCCCCCGTGGCGCTGCGACGACAGCGTGCGGGGCGCGAGAGGGGCTCGAATTCCGGCGGAACCTGTTAAAACAGACGTTTATGGCGAAATCATCCAAAGCGGCCGTCGCGGGAGCCAGACGTCCTCGGCGGCGGCAGCGACGGCTCACGTCGACTGCGCTAGAAGAAACGGAGCGTGAAATTGGGCCTGGTAAGCCGCCCCGCCGGAGCTTCCAAACGCGGAGGCGAAGCAGGGCAGGGTGAGATGTGGGGTGTGGGGAAGGAATGATGGGGCGGTGTACAAAGGGTGAGGTAGAGGCGAGGCGGGGAGGGCGGCGCGAGGCAAGAGATGCAGGGTAGGGTGGGGTGGGATGGGGTGGAATGGAGTGGGGTGGTGCGGGGAGGGGTAAGGATTACGAGGAGAGGCAGCTATGCCGAGACGCTCTGGACGGGACCGTCGCCCTGCAGCGAGGTCAGCGTGGAGGGGGGAAGGAAGGCGACCGTATGAGGGGATGCCAGTGCCACCAACTGAGAACATGATTGAGTGATGGCGGTCGCGACAACTGCTCAGGTCATTACTCCCATAAGTGTAGTGCATGAGTTTTCGTCGGGAGGTGGCGATGATATTCCCTTGCTGGATTAGGCGCCGACTTATATGACGTCTAGCGGAGTTTTCCCCAACCAGGTATCTCCCACCAGCGGGGCAAAGCGCCACCTAGGATAAGCTCTAAGCTTCCAACCGGTCTCCCGGCATGTGTGGTAGTGTGGTGCATGTAAGTTTAAGTGCGGATAAGTGTAAGGGGCGATAAAAGAACAAAGAAGAAGGAAAGATCGCGTGCGGTCTGTGACCTGTTTGTTATATGTTTGAAAAAATGAAGCATTTGCCTGGTGTTGATGGGAGAAACCACGGAAAACTACCGATCATTGTAACAGGCTGCTAGAATTCTCTTTCAGACAGTAGTTGAATTCCATCTAGCTATCTAGTAGGTACATGTCGAAAACCCTGTCACCGTCGGGGCTGGAATCCTAGGACCTACCGATCATTTGCACTGCAGTGACATCAGCTGACGCCACCGAAGCCGGTCTGAAAGCATGGAAATGGAAGGTATAA